TATATATATATCTCAACAGTTCCAATTTCTTAAATTCACAGGGCAAACTATTATCTTGTCTAGAAACGTTATCCGTTCGCAATTTCAAACACAAAACAGACTCAAAAACAAGAGTGAAAATACAGGCTTGATCATATTTAAGTAAGTGTGCCCTACAGCAGCCATTCTGGTTACAAGCGCACTGTACCAGGAACTCAATGGGTGGCAAATGTGACAAAGAGGCCGACATTGGCATGCTGTTGAGCGGTAAGAACCTCCAACCCAACCCAGGGAGCGAGAGATGCAAAAAGCCGCTACGCTCCGGCACCCCCAGTGGAGGAGATGCTTGCATCTTCAACCTCATAAAACAATGAACCAAAGCGACACTTCTTTGCAGTATGTCGTATAAAAACAAATTCACCTTACTGTACCAGATGTTCCTCATGGGATTTGTGGGTGATAAATCTCCCAAAAGCGTTGACTTAAAGCAGTTTCTTTCCTCCCAGTCATCCCGCTTCACGCTTCCAGTCGCTCGTCGTTGATTCGTCACACACTCTGAATCTAAATGTGTGTATGTGTGTTTTTCGTTCTCCGCTCTTTCAACGCCAAACGCGTTGATGAATCGAGATAACCCACTCCCGTAAGAGGATGTTAGCGAGTCTAAACTAGCTAAACAAAGACAGATGTTAAGAAGCGTTGAATACTAGCATCATCCCGCTGTAGTAGAAATGAATGAAAAGGAGCCTGAGCAAGGCGGCGCACTGTTCTAGTAGTCGATCGTCATGGTCCATGCAGTTAAAAGCAGGTGGGGGTGTGTGCAGTTGTTTTTTTTCACCCACCCTTGGGAAGAACACTCAATGCATCTCTCCAGTTTCCATCACATAGATGGCTACTACCATCAGGCTGGCAACAATGCAATTAACAAGGCACTACTTCCGGTTGGGCCTTTTCAAAATTACCAACATTCTCAACGATACCGTGTGCGCGTGGGTGCGTGTGTGTCCGTGTGGGCGCGCGCGCGCGTGCGTGCGTGCGCGCGTGTGAGCGCGTACACACACACACACACACACACACACACACACGCACACACACGCGCACACGCACACACACGCGCACACACGCTCCTTTGCAAACAGAGGCTATCATCTTCTGGATTCAGCTACAGTATATCCTCTGAGGAACAAAGTCAGGGACCCTGCAACAGTTGCGTGGTCTTTGTCGACATCTTCTGGAAAAAAAGTATGTCTCTACTGCACTTATAAAATTTATCTCAGGCAGTGTGTGTGCTACCTTGTGTGACGTAGTATAGATTTTGAAAGGACCCCACAAACGGCGGTACATCGTCTGCTTCCCTGCATCGAAAGACTCCACAATTTGATGCAGTTGTATCGGCCTGAAATCATAATCATCTTGTTTAGCACACCGGTAAATATGATACTTTACGAATCTCCTGCTCGTCTGTTATCAAACACATGTCATATGTGAGCAATGTGTGCTCGCAGGCTTGAACAAAAGAGCGGATGCGACGGGCAAAATTAGCGCTTTGTATGAATGGGCTCACGCCACAGCGAAGACCAAATAGTGTTTTAGTGCATGCGTTTTGTCAGAGAATTTCTTGCTTTGAGCAACATTAGCTCATATGAAGTATTTAAACCTGCACATACATGGTTTGAACAATAATTCTCTATCTGAAAATCAACTTCGAGGGCTAAGCTAGCATTTGGAGTCATGCTAACAACAGATACGGTATTTCGCGTCTTAATTTTTTTCTTTGAACAAATGAAGTTTGAGAACGACGTATAAAATATAAAATTCTACTGGATATACTGTACAGTGTCGTATAAATTGTTTTGCTTGAGTAGCGAGTAAATGTCACTATATCAACAGAAATAAGTATTATCAACGTAGATGAGTACCGCCCCGTTTGTTCCATTTTTGCTGGACTTCTTGGTCAACTTTTTTGGGTATGTTATTTTTTTAATAAACTACTTTTCATAAGGTTGTTTGACAAAAAGAAATGATTGATGGTGGCTTCTGGAAGGACTTGAGCTTTGGCGCTAGCCTTTCCCTTGAGCAAGTCAATGCTCAAGTGGTGCGAACAGCTTTCATTCTGAGATCTCTCCTTGCATGTGTGCGATGTGGTCTTTCTGTTTGGTGTGCAGCATAACAATACAGTGCTACATAGACTTAGGAGTACCAGACATACACTTTTCATGCTGCGATTATTTTCCTTTGACTAGAGAGCAGAAATTACTGATATAGGAGTGTTTAGATCAGGGGTGTCAAATTCCGGTCCTGGAGGGCCGCTGTCCTGCATGTTTTCCAAGTTTCCCTGTTGCAACACACCTGATTCAAATGATCAGATCATCAACAAGCTCTGCGCAAGCCTGACATTGAACCTGTCCATTTGAATCAGGTGTGTTGCAACAGGGAGACTTGGAAAACATGCAGGACAGCGGCCCTCCAGGACCGGAGTTTGACACCCCTGGTTTAGATTCTGGCAGAGAATTTGAAAACAAGCAGCAGTTTGGCACATACTGAACAAAGAAGCCACTCGGCATGGTTAAACCTGCTTACTCCGTCTTGAAGTTTAATGTCAAACTAAATTCGAAAAGAACAGAATTGTATTTGACCTTACTTTGCCTTACGAAAGTCGACTAACTTAGTGACATAAAGGGAAATGCCATAGCCAGTCTAACAAAAGTGGCATTGGTATAACGGTTGTCTTTAATTAACTTAGATTAGAAAATAATGCAAGCCACACATGCAGAAATACAATATAACAATAGCCGCAGTTATAATGTGTTTTTCCACTATGAAAGACAAATTACTGCAACTTGTGACAGTCTTCTGTGTTCTGTCATTAACGCTACATAGCATTCACTGTAGCATACTATTACGCTTTGGTGGCCAAGAAGGCACAACATGCACGCAAAGCCCATTCATTTAAAGTGAGAAATCATGATGCACAAACTTCAATTTGTTACCTCCTTTTAAATTGTTATTATTGCATGTTTTTGTAAAGTACAATACCATACAGCACTGTTTTCATGTTGCGAAAACAACAAGCTTTTTCGTATGTGGGAGGGCTGTAATAATGTTGAACAAAACATTTCCATTCCTTTCTAATGAGGATAGATGTTTTGAGGTATGAGGGTTTGGAATTGCGAGCATGACCATGGAACAAATTACACTCATAAATCCAGGCACGGCCATATGCAGCATAGTGTGAGTTTCAGTTTTTCCTTGAGTGATTACATTGAGCATAGCAACTGATTAAAATATTACACTAACAGGGTTCATTTGGAATCAGTGGGCCACCGCTTTGAATTTTTTGCTGGATATGTATCATGTATGAAACATTGATTCATGAAACTCAAGGTGTACTTCCCTACTTTCAGACTGAGCTGGCCCCTGGACAGGCCTGTGGGGAACCACAGTGAGACGCAACCATGTTTCTTTATAACATCACTCTTCAGCGTGCCACTGGCATCACACATGCCATCCATGGAAACTTCTCAGGTGAGCTTGCACCTCATTAATATTGTCTGCTTTCGTCAGCATAATGCCTCTTCCTCCCTGGTTTGTTTGACACAGTACAGGTACTATAAATGAGGTCTGTCAGAAAAGGTCCAGGACTAGTCTCATAAAGATATGTCAAACCCAAATGTGTTTCCCCGTGAAATGTGGTGTTGATGATCAACCGGGCATGTCTCCATAGAGATCCTGTGGCCGCATTTGCTTTGTTTAATGGTCCCGAAGAGGCCCAAGCTGTCGTAACTTCTTCATGACTACACGCCTGCATTGTTTACGTTTTTCTTCTTTGATGAAATTGAGGCTTTGACGACGTAGTGATTCCATACTAATGATTTGAGGAATGCATGGCAGAGAATGTGGCAGAGAAGTCATTGTTTAACTACTATTCACGCTCATGGTCTCATGAAATAAAGCGCGCGAGACTCCAGATGGATCATTTTGAAGGGAAAACGTTAAGTTTGGATTTGAACTTTTCAGACATTTAATGTGTGCGTCACGTCATCAGTACACATCTTTAAAGGATGTATACATTAGTGTGGATTCTGTTTAAAACATTTAGATGCATCTACAGTGTTTCTCTTTGAAGTGGAACTCATCAGATTGACCTGAAATTTGTTTATCTTATGTAAGACCTGTTTTTGTATTTTGTGTCCCATTTGTTAAATGTTTTTTTTTTTTTTTTCCCATTTGTTTTTGTAGGAACCAAAATGCAGGAGATTGTTGTTTCCAGAGGAAAGATCATAGAGTTGCTGAGGCCAGACGCAAACACGGGAAAGGTGCACACGCTGCTCACAATGGAAGTGTTTGGTATTGTGCGTTCACTAATGGCCTTCAGACTCACAGGAGGAACTAAAGGTATATAACCCAGTGCATGTGAACCTTTTTTTTTTTTCCTTTGAGACAAATTGCAATTAGAGATTACCATTTGTGTCTAGATAGAAAAAACAAAACATGTAGAAGGACATTTCAGCCCCAATTAATGACTCTGGGCCAGATTCTAACTAATACGTTTTGAGCTCTAAATACACAGTGGAAGGACCACTCAGAAGTTCTGGGCTTCCAACTGTCAAAATGAGCCCATTTTCCTTTTTTACGATGACCAACACCATATAAGCTACATTTCTGGTTCGGGGTTACTGCTACTTCCCTTATCCATCAATGATGCTCCGATGTGGAGGTATAACGTTAAAGCCAGATAGAAATCAAAACATTGTGGGTTAACCAGAGTCTCCTGTAGATCGCAATCCTTGCTGCTGTATTCACCATTCTCAATGCTTTTGTTTTGTAGATTACATTGTTGTTGGAAGTGACAGCGGTCGTATCGTTATCTTGGAATATCATCCGTCCAAAAACATGTTTGAGAAAATTCACCAGGAGACATTTGGGAAGAGTGGTTGTCGCCGCATTGTCCCAGGACAGTTTTTGGCAGTGGACCCCAAAGGCAGAGCTGTCATGATAGGTATGTTCAATAAAGTTTTTTAGGGTCTTTCGATACTGAATGGTGAGTGCATAAGATAGCCGTAGTTTGTACTTTTATTTAAATAATTACTCTTTCTCAAACGACACCATGGTGACTATAGCTGAACAATTAAGCAAAGTCAAATCAACACCTATTAGGATGCAATTTTCAAATCCAAAAGGCTATGATTAGGAAAAAAAATGTAAAAAAACAAGGCCTTAGCTACGCCAAAGAATCTAGTCTCTCTCTCTCTCTCTTTCTCTCTCTTTCTCTCTCTCTCTCTCTCTCTCTCTCAATATGTACAAGTATCACCTGAGTGCGAATCGCAGGACCAGCCGAGCTATTAAAAGAAAGTCAGACTTATTGTCAGAAAAAGACGTTAATTGAATGAACTAGGGAAACAAACATGAAAGTCTCAGAAACCAAAAATAAAGGACAGCAAAATGAAACATTACTCATGGGTAAAGATGTGTCAGAAAACTATCAAATCACAACTCAGTTATGTTGCAAAATCACGCAGCACAAGTGGTGACATTAACGTGAGCTGTCTTTGTCCTTCCCTTGTGTAGGAGCAATAGAAAAACAGAAGCTGGTTTATATTCTGAACAGAGATGCAGCTGCACGACTGACCATCTCTTCCCCACTGGAGGCCCACAAGGCCAACACACTGGTCTACCATGTAGTGGGTGTGGATGTTGGCTTTGAAAATCCCATGTTCGCTTGTCTTGAAATGGACTATGAGGTACCAGCATGTAAATTTAACATCATGTGATGAGTTTGTACTGTCTCTTCTCTGACCTTAACTAAAAAAAAAAACCTTGCTATCTCTGACTGGGTCCTTTTTATTTTTGATGTATTTTTATGATGTCTGCGCATTTAACAGGAAGCGGACAATGACCCTACTGGAGAAGCCGCGGCCAACACGCAACAGACACTCACCTTCTACGAGTTGGACCTTGGCTTGAATCACGTGGTCCGCAAGTACAGCGAGGCTCTAGAAGAACATGGAAACTTTCTCATCACAGGTAGGAAAATGTTCCAAGTTGATTGTGTGCAAAGCAGCATTCAATACAGAAGGATTTCTGTGTGCTGTTTTTTATGAGGAATAAATATTCAATAAATTGTGATCGAAATGAACTAATAAGGCAAGGTAACACTCACCGTTCTCCTCTTTCATATCTAGTTCCTGGTGGTTCCGATGGGCCAAGTGGAGTTCTCATCTGCTCTGAAAACTACATCACATATAAGAATTTTGGAGACCAACCTGACATTCGCTGTCCTATCCCACGTCGCAGGGTGAGTCATACTGTCCATACATCTACAGAGGCAACAGCAAATATGTGATCTTGTGGAATTTTATGGTCTTCTGAATAGATGTGCTGATCTTCAAGTCAAGGGGAGACTATTGATAAATATGATGCGGGGGCTCTATCTAACCTTTCACCTGCTAGCACTGGTGCTAGCAGCTTTCTCATTTAGTCACACTAACACATCATTTGGTCACACCCCTTTTTTTTGTCATTGGCCGCATAATTGCCAAAGTCACTTTTCAGTATTTTTGCAGAACATGAAAAAAAACACAATTTTAAGAACCCATTGAAATTTTTATTGGGTCTTTTTCCTTTTGGTTACTTAAAAATTGTATTTTAACATGTCTTCCAAAAATATTGAAAAAAATGACTGGCAACTGTGCTATGTGGCCGACGATATTACTTATTAATTTGATTAAAATGTATGATTCAGAAGTAAAAGCATAACATACAATTGTTACCATTGTTCTTGCTTTTTAGAGCATTATTTGTGATCATGTACTCAAACATGACCTTTGGCATGGGTTTGTTTAACCTTAAGATCAGGATCCCGGACTGTTTGTCATTTGCAGCTGTATGGCCATAGACTGTCTCTCCCATTCTTTTTGAAATGTCCGACTATTTGAATGCACCTCGTGTCTCGCCGAATGCAGAGGGTGTCAATATTGAATGTCATGTCTGCGTTTTATGACCCTTTCCGTTTGAACCACATAAATTGACAAACGAGCAATCTGGGATGTCAAAATGCGCAGCGAGCTGTGAGCATATCAGTGATTAAAAGCAAGCTGAATGGGAAGCTTTATTTATAAAGCAAATAGTGCTAGTTAAGTGACCAATACTGTGGAAATGGACACACTTGTTGAACATGTAATTTATACAGGAACGATTTAACATGATACACAACATAGACGGGCTTCGCCCTTGTGAGCACATTCTGACAGAGTTGGAGTCAAGCCTTCACTCTATATTTTTCCCCACATGTACCAGTAGGAGCAGTAAAACATGCACTCGCGCTAGTGTGACCGGATAACATTTTTACCAGCACAACTGAAAAGTTGACCGCATTTGCGAGCATATTGGGTGCACTGCCTAGCCTTGAACGTCACCAGAGTCTTGCATTCTACATTTGAAACGCTTCTCCAGACCTTTTCTGCAGCCTCTTTCAGTTCTTGTTTGTTTCTGGGGCCTTCTCCCTTCAGTCTCCTATTTAGGAAGTAAAATACATGCTCTCTTGGGTTAAGCCCCGGTGACTGACTTGGCCAGTCTCAGACCTTCCACTTTTTCCACCTGATGAAGACATTTGTTGTGTTGGCAGTGTGTTTGTGCGATCATTGTCTTATTGCATGATGCTTTTCCAAATTATAGTTTGGATCTGTTTTTCTGTAAATTGCCAGACAACATGGTTTTGTAGACTTCAGAATTCATTCTGCTGCTACCATCATGAGTTACATCATCAATAAAGACTTGTGAGCCTATTCCAAAAGCAGCCATTCAAGCCCATTACATCACAAATGATCTTGTGTCTTTTGGATCACAAGCATATTCTTTTCTTTCTTCAAACACTGGCCTTTCTGTCACCTTGATGTAGGTCAATCTAAGTCTCATCAGTCCATAAAACTTTGTGGCTCATCTCTATACTTAGCAAAATCCAAACTGGCCTTCCAATTCTTTTTGCTGATGAGTGGTTTGCATCTTGTTGTATGGAATGTGTGCTTCTTCTTTCAAAGTCTAAATTGATGACACTGGGGAGCAATTTGGGACCCCCCCCCCCAAAAAAAACTGTTGAGTTACAGATTTATGCTGATTAAACAAAAACTGGCATGCTGATTTGAAAATTGCAATTTTTTGCCTCGTATGTAAAGTTGTTTTTTTCTCCACAGCGGACCAGAAAAGCAAAATTTCGGTAATTGTAGTAAAACACGCTATCTTATTGCGATTGGATTCAGCTACATACCAGCTTGTTTGTCCAGTCACAATTGAGACAGTGTATTATTCAGTACACACAAAAAAGCAATTTTTGCACAAAATACCTCCCACAATTGTACAACGTGGCCCCAAAAAAATTCAAGTATTGACTGACCATGTGTTAACCTGTATAATTGCACCAATAGTTCATATACTTTTTCTTGTAACTGTATCTTCTGTCCCCATTCGGGTTATTGATGAGATGGACACAGGTGACCAAATGACCATTTGTGCTCACAATCTGTGTTTGTACCTGGACAAAAAACAGACACAGGCAAACATGCAAGGAAAACCTGCAAGCTCCGCACAGAAGGGCCTGAGCAGAGATTCAGAACAGAAATGCCTCATGAATGGGCCTGCATTTTGTCCTTGCCGTGTTAATGATGTTTCTACACTGAAACAACATTCACTGGCATGGCAGCTCGAATGACATGGTGAACCTTAAACCTTGCCACCTTTGCACCAAATTGAATTTTGTGCCCATATGTAGCAGGTTACATGAGATTGCCAATGTGAACGCTTGGAAAGAATTGGATTACATATGACAGAAACCTCTGAATGGAACTGATCACAACTTTGCGTGGAGCTTGTCTGAAATACAAGACATTGCTATCATGCTGTAAGAAAATGACAACAAATGTTGAGACAGACTTTTAATGCAGACCGCTTGAAGAGCTTAATGCAATGCGTATCAACTTCATTGTGATGTTCTCAAAAAAACATGAGTATTTTTTTTTTCTCTGCTAGAACGACTTGGACGACCCAGAACGTGGTATGATATTTGTTTGTTCAGCAACCCACAAGACCAAGTCCATGTTCTTCTTCCTAGCCCAGACCGAGCAAGGTGACATTTTTAAGGTTACCCTGGAAACTGATGAAGAAATGGTGAGCAAAATGCATGGATTCCTTGTGTGATAAATAGGGAGTGAAATGTTGATATATATTCTTTTGTGTGTGACCGGTAACAAGATTGCACTGGAACATATTAACAATTCCACTGCACAGAAATCCGCATTTGTGTTTAAAATAATGAAATAAAAAAATATACATTCCAATATACAGTATCTGTTGTGAATTTTTAGGTCACAGAAATCAGGCTGAAGTATTTTGACACAATCCCCGTGGCAACAGCCATGTGTGTTTTGAAGACTGGCTTCCTTTTTGTGGCCTCAGAATTTGGAAATCAGTAAGTCTCTTATATTTGTGGCTTATTTGAAAGGATGTCACTATTATTTTTAATATAGTACAGTAATCACCTACTATGGTTTCCTCTTGGTTGTGTTTCACATATTTAGTCTGTGTATTTCTGTTTTTCCTCATACACCATGCTGAATAATGCTGTACTCGACCTTTTTCTAGTTACCTTTACCAGATTGCCCACTTGGGTGATGATGATGAGGAGCCCGAGTTCTCCTCTGCCATGCCTCTGGAAGAAGGGGACACCTTCTTCTTCCAGCCCCGTCCCCTCAAGAATCTGGTGCTGGTTGATGAACAGGAGAACTTGTCCCCCATCATGTCCTGTCAGGTGGGTGTTCATTTTAAACGTGGTGTCACTGCAGAACAAAAGCATAACGGTACCGTACCACGGTCTTAATACCTTGAAGATATTGTGCCATGAGATTTTGATATTGTTGCAGCCCTTATGTCCACTCTTCTATTTTTCCTGATAGATTGCTGATTTGGCCAATGAAGATACGCCACAGCTTTATGTGGCCTGTGGACGAGGACCCAAATCTACTTTAAGGGTTCTTAGACATGGACTGGAGGTAAACACGTGTAAATTATTATTATTTTTAAAATGACGTCTTCTCACATAACAAAAGATGAAGACTTCAGTGTAATCTCATTATAGTTTTCACTCTAACACATTTATTTTCTCAATAAATAATCACTGCTGAACCTACACAGTTGAATTTTGTGTCCTCAGCACATAAAAATACTTTTTTACCAGCGATAATGATGTGTATGATGACATAAGGAATACCATCTATATTGACATAGTTTTTATTGCAGTAGCAAGTGAACGTTACATACCTCATAGCACCTCACCTGTAGTCTGCATTCGGCAAATGTGTCAGTGAAGAGGTAGTTTTCTTTAAATTATCCATGTATTTATGATCAAACTCTGTTCATACGTGTGAGGGGTTTGGGGCTTTGCCTGTGCGTGCGTGGTACTTTGAACTTGTTGATCTTGTGCCGTCCATTGTGAGAGTCACACTGGGTTGAATCAGGGTTGACTGACAACCACACTTCTCATCCAAACCCCAAATGTTATCAAATGATACCAGTGTTTGTGATTAACTCGCACAGATGGCTTGGGGAATCAAGGCACTCCATGAATGTCACACATCCCACGCAATTTCTTTTGATGGGATGCTTGGGTTGTCTTTTGTTTATCTTGCAAACTTTAGTGGCAGTTTAAAAAAAAAAAACATCTGATTGGATGTCACTAGTTTGTTAAATCGGTTTTATAACCAGTTTTCAACATATGTTTGTATCAGGGTTCCTGTGGGGTATTAAAAGTCTTAAAAGCATTGAATTAATGAATTTGGAAATAACACCTTAAAAAGTCTTGGAAAAGTCTTGAATTTTGATCTTTATTTAAGAATCTCATTTTAATGTCTTAATTTTTATTCTCTGTCAGTGCTCTGTCTCAGATTCCCGTTGCTTGAGTGCAACAAGAAACAAATATGTGTGCGTGCTTGTTTGTGTGTGCGCAGTGTACAATGTTGAAATGCCTCTCCTAAGTTAATAATTTTGCAAGTGATAATCAATATGCTGAATTCTTAATGGTGAACACATTTCTAGGTTAAATCTAATAAAATTCATGGATTTTGTTTTTCTTTGCCAATATGGCTGTGAAATAGTTAAGTTAAAAAAAAGTCTGAAATAAGTCTTAAAAATCTTAAATTTAACTTGAAGAAACCTGTAGGAAACCCGTTGTATGATTATGGTAGATAACGCTCATCCCCTGCATTTGAAGATAATGGATGGATGCATCTTTTTAATTACTTTCAAAAGGTTTCCGAAATGGCTGTGTCTGAACTGCCAGGTAACCCCAATGCTGTGTGGACAGTACGCAGACATATCGAAGGTAAGAACATTATTCTTTCACTTCCAACAAATCATTAACCACATTTATAATGTTGACACGCATCATGATGGTATGGCGTGTCTGTAGAGTAAGTCCCTTGCTTGGAGAAAAAAAAGAGTGCCACTGCCACCTACTGTAGTGGATGTCCAGTTACACTACATGCTAGGCAATAACCATCACGTGGCAATTTTCTTGACAAAATATTAAAAAATATGTAAGACAAATTGGATATGGAAGTACTGGAGATGGTCTGGGGGTTGGCGGCTCTTCTATGGCAACAGTGTTTGAAACTTCCAGTGGCAGATAATATGGCCTAATGCTCACAGCAAGCAACTCATCTGCAGCAATACTTCTCTTTGGCAACAATGTCCCTTATTTGATTACTTGAGTAATCGATGGAATAATCCATTCTAAAAAGATTCCTTAGTGGCAACCCTCCCCTAAAGTACTCACAAAACGTTTTTCAAGTGCCTTTTTCTGATCTATGTGTAGCTAATCTGTATAGCTAATCTGTGTCGTTTTGCCCCACTGCCATATGAAAGGACAATTTTGCCTCGTCTACATTTTCTGTCGAATCATTGTTCCTTTGCTGCAATAGCCACTGTGGACATCAGTCAAAACATCTGAAAACCCAGCAAACCATTATCCCATGTGTATTTCCTATTTTCATGCAATTTGGCCCAATCGGTGGAAAATGACATGTGTCATATGTCCTAAATGTTCCAGAATTGGTGTCACAAAAGCTATATTTCAACCCCCAGCTCAGTTTTCCCCTCCAGATAACCAACCGTCATGTACATTTTTTTTTTACATTGCAGGTTTGAGAAAAGTAACTCAAACTTTGGCAAATGACTAAGAAGTTTATATAACTGTTGAAATGGTCTTTGCTCTTAATATTATATTGGATCAGCCCAGACTTAAATTTGATTGCAGAATGTACCTTTCATAAGGACACATCAAGTTGTTAATTTTCCCCTTTTTGAAGTCCAGTCTACCCTTCTCATCTCGTATTTTTCTTCAGCTTTTGACAATTGTAAACACACCTCAACTGTCTATTTTTAGCCAGTGCTCCTTTCCCTTTCATTTTTAGATGAATTTGATGCCTATATCATCGTGTCTTTCGTCAATGCTACGCTGGTTCTGTCCATTGGTGAGACTGTAGAGGAAGTGACAGATTCTGGATTCCTGGGAACAACGCCAACACTCTCCTGCTCGCTACTGGGTGAAGATGCCCTCGTTCAGGTATGTGCCATTTTCCTTGAAAATGGTCTCTGAACTTTATAAGTGTGATAAACCTAACCCATCGCATCTCATGTGCTTCCGGTCATTATAGGTGTACCCGGATGGCATCCGCCACATTAGAGCTGACAAGCGTGTGAACGAGTGGAAGACTCCTGGCAAAAAGACCATTGTCCGTTGTGCTGTGAACCAGCGGCAAGTGGTTATCGCGCTCACAGGTGGTGAGCTGGTCTATTTTGAGATGGACCCGGTAAGCAAATATTTATTACTGTCGATTTGTTAATGTACAGTGTACCCACACTGTTTGTGGGGTTTAGTTACCAGGACCCACACTTATTGTACCTTAGGCTGAGCAGCTGACCATTACTAGCTGATCAGCTTAACTTTCACCACTGCTGGTATTGATCCGGACCTTTCTCTACATCATCTTGAGAAGTTTTACCTCACTGCTTTCTCTGACGTCAATCCAACAAGAAGCTTTGCCTGCTTGTCTGTCGGAATCACGCTAAAAAAATTGTGCGTAGTTGAGACACTGCTGCACAGTTTATACTGAAGCTGTCCGTGACATTATGCAAATGTAGTAATTTTATGGCTCAAAGGAGTCTCTCTGGCCTTGTTTGTCCTGCCATTGGCTCTATTTATGTTTTTTTTCCTCTTGGTGATGCATTTTTTTGACTGGTGCGATTTATAATCCACCGTGATCTATAGTCCGGAAAATAGACCCATTAATCTTGGTTTAAAAAAAAAATCGCGTTGGAACAGCAGGGGTGTGTTGACTTTTCATATCCCCACCTTTTTCAACCTTTCAGTCTCATTGTCCAAAGTTGATAGTGATAACCCAAAAGACATACAGTATTTGAAAACATTTTTTTCAAAATTACAATAATGTTCCACTTTTTGTAAATCGTAAATCTTTCACATTAAAGACCGCCAAATTACATCTGCATTTGTTTTTGTAGTTCAAGGGGTATGGTTATTGCATAACATTTGAACAAAGTAATTTTTGATCAATTGTGTGATAATCTGCGAATCATGCAGACTGTGTACTTGTTTGTAATACAGTCATACCTCGGTTTCCGACCATAATCTGTTCCAGAAGGCTGTTCAACAACCGATTTGTTCGAAAACCGAAACCACACTTTTTTTTTTTAAATCTTTATTGAACACGTCTGTTCACCATGGAACGCTAAGCGTCACTTCCTCGTGTAAGGAAGGCGAGAGGAGTCAAGTGACGCATTCAAGTGCGCTCAGTTTGTTCGAGAACTGAAATTCGGTCATCATCCGAGGCATAAAAACTTGAAATTTTTGGTCGAAAACCGATTTCGTCGAGAACAGAGACATTCGAAAACCGAGGTTTGACTGTATAGTAATATATAATAATAAATAATATTATAATAAATATATTTACAGCACTTTGTTTGCAGTTCTGGTTGTTTTTAAAGTGTTTTAATGAATAAAGTTGTGTTGGGTACTTGGTTCTGACAAGTAGAATATATGTGATGGATGTTTCTGTTCCATTTCTTCAGTCAGGCCAGCTGAACGAGTATACCGAGCGCAAGGAGATGTCTGCAGATGTGGTCTGCATGAGTTTGGCCAATGTTCCTCCTGGTGAACAGCGCTCTCGTTTCCTGGCTGTGGGACTAGTTGACAACACGGTTCGAATCATATCCCTGGACCCTTCGGTACGAATAACAGTTTTGTTATTATTATGATTATTTTAAGTTACAGAACGTTGTTGTTCTGAAATAATCAACATTAGTCATCTCTGTCGTTCTTGGCCAGATTTGTTTAATAGTAGATTTTATTTTCAAGTCCTTATAAAGTGTAAAACATTTCACCATGCTTTCGATTTGAGGTAGCACAAGTGGTATTAAAACAAATATTTCAAGGTTAACTAGCCACTTGACCTGCCAATTGTAAAAATACTGCAATACTGTATGGTAAAAATGTAATTGAACCACACAGCCAGGCCATTTATTATGTGCAGCAATAATGTGACGTCTTCCATAGACGTCTTCGTTACATGACATCATCTTTACTGAGGAACTTGGATAGACTCCAGTACACTTGCACCCCCTTGTGAGCATAAGCAGTACAAAGATTGAAAGGATGGAACTGACAACTGGAAAGTGGAGTTAAAGCCTGTCGAAAAACCCTGCCTTAGGGGAACGCATGGAACAACATCAAAAAGAGTGATTTTCCAAAGCTCCAAAATACTAATTGGAATCTACCGTTCGTGTTAACACCTACTTGAACTGAAACATATGTTGGAATCCTGGATGGATTACCCATATCTCGTTATCATTTATTTTACCTTATTTTCACAAGCCTTGGGAATTACTGGGCTAACCTAGAACTTCGGGATTGCATTTCGTGTCATATTATGTGGAAATATCTGCTGCTATGAGGAGAAAAAAAAGTCTTCTTGAATTTTAAGCGAAAGAAAATTCCTTGAATCCTTGAAAGCTCAATTTTAAATGTAACTTGAAAAGATGAAAAAATAATGTGATTGACTGTGTGGAGTTTGAAAAGACATAAATATGTCTTCGGGGGTGAGTGAGGTAAGAAAGTAAAATAAGAATTGACTAATCTTAAATTTAACTTGAAGAAACCTCTATGATAGCAAGACAAAAAAACTAAAACAAATGCCAGCTGTTCCTGCCGTGTGAGTTTTGGCCTCTTTGGGGCAGTGTGGTGCCATGCCTTGGATGGAGTACGGCAGGGGTGTCAAACTAATTTTTGTTGCGGGCCACATTGTACTTACCGTTTCCCTTGGAGGGCTGTTATGACTCTGAAACCATATAAAGAAGTCAAGAATAATGGTTTATTCAACTATTGTTTAAGTTACTTTAATGAGGGGTTTGCTTAAAATATCTCATTACATTTGATCATTTGAAATTTTGGTACAGATATTAGCAAGCATCATAGAAATTGACATGTTTGATTCGCTTTCGCAGGCCACTTAAAATGATGTGGTGGGCCAGATCTGGTCCCCGTGCCTTGGGTTTGACACCTGTGGAGTACAGACTTAGAATTAGAACACAAGTGAATTAAAGCGGAATACAAAGCACGCTCATGGACGGCAGAATTACATATGCAACACGCTTACTTTGCAAGAAACATGGTGCCTTTAGGGTACTTTCACGTCAGGAACTTGTAAATGCACCACACTATGATGTGCATTTATTGTTTTTCTTTTATTAGAATGTTTTTAAGATTCAGAGAAGTCAATCATGATTAAATTTCAAATAATGGTCGAGCCTTAGTCCTCAGCTGCAAACAGGCTGATGTGCAAAGTTTTTTTTTTTAAATTTGTAGGTCAAACTCGGAGTGCCTTACAACATCACATTAATAATAGAAGAATATTTATGATTAAAAAGGCCCATCTTGGTGACTTCAGGAGAGTCTGAAAGGTTGTACAGAAGAGGTTGGTGAATCTCCCTTAAGACTTCAATTATGACTGGGAGGTTGACTAGCTGACTGAAACAGGTTGATGGCGCCATGTTGCCTTAGGTCAGGGGTGTCAAACTCATTTTTGTCGCTGGCCATTGTAGTTAGTTTCCCTTGGAGGGCCGTTATGACTGAATTTTGTGAAACCATATTGATGTTTAACCACCTCCACATATTACATACACAGCCAACGACAAATAGATGGATAACTAGTTTTGACATCAGAAGTCAAGAATAATGGATTGTTCAAACATTGTAATTATTACATTATATATGACAATTTGAAATTTTGATTCAGACTTCAGCAAACATCATGGAAGTGGACATGCTGGAATTGCTTTCGCGGGCCACATAAAATGATGTGGTGGGCCACATCTGTCCCCCGGGCCTTTGACACCTGTGCCTTAGGTCTTTCATGCCAACACCAAACTTGCTGATGTGTCGCATAATCTGAATGTGTGCAACATTAAATTCCTTACAATTTAGGAGAAAACACTGGCTCAAATCTTTTCTCTTTTAGGATTGTTTGCAGCCACTGAGTATGCAGGCTCTCCCAGCCCAGCCAGAAAGTCTTTGTATTGTTGAAATGGGAGGAGTTGAGAAACAGGATGAACTTGGGGAGAAAGGAACCATCGGCTTCCTCTACCTCAACATAGGGCTTCAGGTAAGATACATCTTTCAGATCATCAATAATAAAACAAACAAACAAATGAAACAAACCAAACAATTTCTGCTTACTTATAGCAAAAATGGCATAGTATAACTCTTAAACACTTGGTAAACCATGTTTTCATTACTGCTGTAATATTGGCAGTCTTGAACGGTCTCAGTCAACAGACTGGATGGTTCACATCAAGCAGTAAGATTTCTTTTACATCTGTTCTTTGTTTCCCATTTTTAAGCAGCATGTATGCACGGAAGCGGAATAAATTGGAAGACATGGAGGCTTGATATTTAGTCGTAGTAATGCATGTTTACTTGCGAGCAACGACCATCCAAACGCTCTAGAAATCACAGCTCGCCCTTTTGTCAGCTATTTCAAGAGCCCAATTTCTTGCAGCGACGCCATTTTATCGGTAGCAATATCTACAGTCATGTGGTAATCTCTTTGAGAGACTGTTTCATTTATTTTTAAATTGCAGGCCTTGTCATTGAACAGTGTCTGTGTATTCTCTGTTGTAGAATGGTGTACTGCTGAGGACTGTCTTGGACCCAGTCACCGGTGATCTGTCCGATACCAGAACCCGCTACTTGGGCTCACGACCTGTCAAGCTTTTCAGAGTCAAGATGCAGGGACAGGACGCTGTATGTTTTTGAAAATGTTCAGAAAACACACCGTATTTATTACAAAGAATATATAAATACTAAGTCAAACTGTCTCTTATCGTTATCAGGTCCTTGCCATGTCCAGTCGTTCCTGGCTCAGCTACTCGTATCAGTCTCGTTTCCATTTGACGCCTCTGTCATATGAGACCCTTGAGTATGCCTCGGGCTTTGCCTCCGAGCAATGCCCGGAAGGCATAGTGGCCATCTCCACCAACACACTTAGGTATAGCTGTTCCTTCCGGGGCTGCTTTTTATGATTTACCAACCATACAACTGCTCCTGAGAGTTATCCGTGTGTCTATCAGTGCCTTGTCTTCCTTGAGTATTAGAAAGATTTGTATCCACCTGGCCCTCATCATCAACTTCCTTGTCATGGTTTGCTTGACAGAATCTTGGCATTAGAGAAACTTGGAGCAGTCTTCAACCAGGTGGCTTTCCCCCTGCAGTACACTCCCAGGAAGTTTGTGATCCACCCAGAGACCAACAACCTAATTTTGATTGAGACTGACCATAATGCCTACACCGAGGCGACCAAAGCTCAAAGGAAACAGCAGATGGCTGAGGTATGAAAGAAATTTTTGGGGGTGAGAATATAGGCAGACGGAGTAGTAATTATGGCCAACGCTTGGGGCGTGGCAAACATCTGTTACCACTTGAACTCATGGAATCGTAGATTAACATTGCAAGAGGATTACTCGCGGAAGCTGGATTTTGGTAGTTGTGATGGTGCAGTTGTGTACCATGTGACAGGATAGACGACGTTTAAGTATTCCAGGAACTTCCTGCGAAACAGATTTTGTGCTGCCTCTCTCCGAACACTAATGGTAACCTCGAGCTGTATGGCCCCACAGACATTTACAGCACATTTTACTGCACAGTGGGCCACCGGTGACGAGCAGCAAATCATCCTCTCTGAGAGGTCAAATTTTATTCAAAAAATATGGTTGTAACATTGCCTTGTGTCTGGCAACAGACGGCAGAGAGCTTAATCTTAAAAATCCATTTTCACCAAATTTAATGTGCAGTTATTGTACTATGCAGTAAATTTTGCAAGGGCTTCAAACAAAATCAAAAAACTTGTCAGTCCCAGCAGACTGTTTCTCGGGAGACTTTTTCCTGTTGGGCTGTCTGCTATCTGGTTGAGGTCATATTATCACCCCTTGGGCACACAGACATGCTCATATTTCAATAGGCTGGAGTTAAGCCTTGTTTCCTTTTTCTGTGTTCATTTTAGTATTTGTATTCTTAGGCACAGTAGCCTTTGTTTAGTTGTTAAGACCATGGGTCTAATTTCTTCTCTGAATTAAGATTTAATTTTGGACATACTTCCTTTAGCTGTATCTGAATCTTTTTTGTTACATAACTAGTGAACTTGGTTTTGGAAAGATAAACTACTTAGAAATGATGATTGTTGAATAAATCTTGTTGTTGAAAGGCATTCCAGTTCAGGACGGTACAATTTATAATCAGACCAACAGGTTTTCGCATTGTGGCAAATTGATATTTGGCATATTTCCAACTGATGCTGTTGGTAGTAATGTGGCTGGTTGCAAATAGTTACTGGACCTAAATTAAGTCTTGCTACTGTATGCGATTTACTCACTCCTGCACACAGCCATCATTTTATAATCTGTCACAATGGATAATATCCTAGAGAAAAGACATGGCAGGCATGATCAGACATATGGTTGCATTTTGCAAATTCATTTAATAGATGCACATTTCAATCAATCAAACTTTATTTATATAGCACTTTTCATACATAAAAATGCAACTCAAAGTGCTGTTCAGTTAAAACATTTCAAATTTGCAACATAAAAAGAGGACCCTCCTCCCCTCAACACACGCACTCGCGCGCGCGCGCACACACACACACACACTATAACTAATAAAAGCACTTTAAACTCAATCCTAAAACACACAGGGAGCCAATTCAGTGATTTTAACACTGGTGTAAAGTGTTCCCGCCCTCTGGTCCTTGTCAAGATTCGTGCGCCTGAGTTATGAAGTATTTGCAAGCTTAGAATATTCTTTTTAGGAAGACCAGAGAGCAGGGCATTAGAGTAATCAAAGCGACAGGAAATAAAAGCATGCATCAGCACTTCCGTGGTGGCCTGAGAGAGAAACGGGCGCACTCTGGCTATGTTCTTGAGATGATAAAAACCAATCTTGGTTATGTTTTTAATATGAGAAATAAAACTTAAGTTCAAAGTCAAAAATGATGGCCAAGTTTTTCACACATTGTGAGGGTTTACGATACTGTAGTTTGGGTAAAAATTTCTCTCTCTGATCTTCAGGGCCAATAACTAAAACCTCATTTTTGTCTTGATTGAGCTGTAGGAAATTCCCTGCCATTCATGATTTATTATCTGAAATACAATTTAAAAGGGTATCAATAGGCCCTGTGTTGTCAGGAGACACAGCAATATACAACTGTGTATCATCAGCGGAGCTGTGGAAGCTGACACTGTGGCGCCTGATGCTATAGGATCCCTGATGTTATCTGGCGTAGTCTCTAGTTGAACAGATATCTCTTTTTTTTTTTTTTAACAAGGATTTTTTTAATAGGACTGACATATTTTTCATATTCTAAGTTAGTTTACTTATTTCAATGACATCCTTGATTGAACTATGCCTGCCATGCACCATACTGTAGGTAGGCACGACTGGCAGCTATTTGTAGCAGACACACCGGAACCAAAACAAGGAGGTGATACAAGCCCCTGGATGTTGTCACAGTTATTAAAAAGAATATTCTGTTTTATTTTCTCATGCAAGAAGAGCAGGTACCATCTCACATGCCTGCCAGACCTGTAGCCTGTCTTTGTAGACTTGAAATAGGTTGATCTGATTTCACACGCAACTGGACTTTGCAGAGTAAGTCAGCACCGTCTCAAGCTTCCAACTGATGCATTTTGTTTGTTGTTGCTCTTGTGCCTGCAGGAAATGGTGGAGGCTGCAGGTGAGGATGAACGAGAACTGGCTGCTGAGATGGCAGCCGCCTTCCTCAATGAGAATCTCCCAGAAGCCATTTTTGGCTCACCGAAAGCTGGCGCGAGGCAGTGGGCCTCGCTTGTGCGGCTGGTCAACCCAATTCAGGGTGCAACACTGGACCAAGTGCAGTTAGAGCAAAATGAAGCCGCTTTCAGGTATGTTGTTTGTTTTAGCCATAAATCTAGAATGCTTTTTCTGACAGGTACAGAGAGATCTTAATATACCCACTTACATGTCCCGTTCTAATGAATACACGTTTTTTTGTGCACACTTTTTCCTAGTGTTGCAGTGTGTCGTTTCCATAATGCAGGGGATGACTGGTATGTCTTGGTGGGAGTGGCCAGAGACATGATCCTGAACCCTAGATCAGTTGGGGGTGGCTTCATCTACACTTATCGCCTCACTGGTGGCGGGGAAAAGCTCGAGTTTGTGCATAAGGTGGATTTGAGTTTACTCCATCCAAACATCATGATCAAATATCACGATATTAACTTCACGATATGATAATTATCAAGGTATTGTGCAGAGTTTGGCGATACAAAAGAAAAATCTCACATTACTGTATAAAGCCTCACGATATTGTGGGGGGGTCGCACTGAAAAAAAAGCACAATATTGTGTTTTGGTATATAAGAGCATTGAGAAAGTACTGTAGTAGGATTGCTCAGTCATTTAATTATCATGTGCTCCTATTGGCTCAGCTTCCCAAAGGCTCATGGTCTATGTAGTACACAATGCTGTGTTAATCTGAAATTGGCGAAAAGTAATGTTTTTTTGACGGAGATGTTGAAAAACATTTGCTTATATGACTGATCTATGGGAGTGAGAAACGCTGCAATATGTTCGGTTATAACATAGTTTTGTTCATGCGAGTACTAATCAGGCCAGGATTTCTCCTTGATCACCCAGATAGATGTAGAGAACGTAAGAGATGGTAGCGTTAATTTGCTATCACACATACAGATGTACCCTTGTGAGGATAAAGCGGATCAGAAAATGGATGGATGGATGGACATACAGATGTCACTTCCTCGAGCTTCCGCATTCAGTCTTTGGGCACTTCCCATTTAACAAAAGAAATAATGGAGGTGATAAGGATATGAGTGAGCCCTCATGTTACCACTAGCCATCAGTCAAGAGTACATTGCGGTGTTAGCCACTTACAACCTAGAGCTGTACAAATTATAAGCAGGGCTTGTGCGCTGCATAATACCTGTTGACAGGTGCAGAAGTCTCCCTAATAGTTACAGAAATTGTTTGATTGCAATGATTGCCGCCCATGCTGGTCAAAATATTAACATAAATGCTTAGTGAGTGCCTTGTTTGTGAACGCTGTGCTTTGTACTCTAATGGTATTTGACTGGGAGAGGGGGGCGGCTTCTTTCAAGTCTTTCCGCCATGATATCAAGTCAAGGAGCAGGTAGACAGAAGATGCTTTACTGAAGGCATACTTCTCTCTGACTTGTTTTTCTCTCTTACTTCTAAAGATGCTTCTGAATCAGAAACTTCTCATCCCACATGTGCAAAAAGACATTTCCACAACAAATGCTCAAAGCTAAAATATTTAGCTGTGCGGGTTCTCATTAGTTTTAAAAACAGGCAGATCTTGTCAAAGCAGGTATTTTCTGATTTTAACAGAAGCTGACTTAACATCTTCCCAAATCCCAAACTCTTTCTGACAGACCCCAGTGGAGGATGTGCCATTGGCCATCGCTCCATTCCAGGGGCGAGCCTTGGTGGGAGTTGGGAAACTCCTGAGAATTTATGACATGGGCAAAAAGAAACTGCTGCGCAAGTGTGAGAACAAGGTAAGTGGCCTACTACCACACAGCATTTACTGTAGCTGCTTTAGACAAAAGGTTGTCATTTACCCCATTGGACACAATTATTAAATCACCCCTGAACATTCCTATGTAATAGTACTCCTTTCCTAATATTAGTAGTCCTCAACATTTTTATGCACAAGATACTGATCTATATGTGGTAAAACAGACGTGGATTTGAGTTTAAATTTACAGTGTGTCGACATTGCATTCTCTTTGTTCTCCTTAGCACGTTCCAAATCTGGTGACTGGCATCCACACCATTGGCCAGCGTGTGGTGGTTTCTGACGTACAGGAGAGTCTCTTCTGGGTCCGCTACAGGCGTAACGAGAACCAGCTCATCATCTTTGCCGATGATACTTGTCCCCGCTGGGTGACAACTGCTTGTCTGCTTGACTACGACACCATGGCCTCTGCTGACAAGTTTGGGAACATCACCATTGTGAGTAGTGGACAATGGGCTGTAAAGCAAGAGGTGGGGGACTCAAGTCACATGATTTAGGCTTGACTTAATCACTAATTTGATGTCTTGCGACTTGCTTGGCAAAAACTTTGGGGAGGGGGATAACAAAAGAAAAAACTCAAGTTGGTTTTGATTTTAACTCCAATAGTTGGCAATTATTCTCTTTACATTTGAAAATCATTCATTCATTCATTCATTCATTCAATTAATTAATAGTGTGACTTTTGTTTTTGAAAGGGAAAAAAAAATTGTGCCTGCCACTAATCTGGTAATGCCCGGCCACAGTCAAGTTTTGAGGCTGAGTCTTTGAACAAGTGTTCCCAAAGATGAATACATCTGGATCGAAGTGTTGCTGTTTTAATGAAACTGGGAAAAAGACCACAACAACATGTAATGTTTGAAACTCAACGATAAGTGACACAACAACTACAATGTTTACTTTAATCTGTCAGATGCAGCTAAAATAGCTGTGTGAACTATGAAGCCAAGCTAGCTAGGTTAGCTTGACAGCTTAGCTCATCAATAGCTGCTCAAAAATTAACTTGATGTCAGTAATGAATTTTTTGAGAACACAATAAAGTGATAGATTAGACACCATAGATTAGACACCATGGAGAGCGTAATCTTGAAACTACTCCAAAAGCAATAATTATTTAATTTCAGACAAGATACACAGACTCCGCTTTGGCTGTTTTTCCTGGTCGTGGGTGTGTCCACCACAATTGATGTGGCAGGGCCTCTGTAACTAAGCATGTCGACTGGACAGAACTTTATGAAGTGACATCCTACAAAGTGCAAAAAGTTAATGCCTCTCATTTACCTTTTTACACACACACACACACACACACACACACACACACACACACGGATGAACCCACACACACAGTATTTTGGGACTTGAGACTCAAATGTTACAACTTGAGATTTACTTCTGACTTGCATATATGTGAATTACTTCTGGAAACGGAACACAAGATGATCAAAATTGTGTGCATCTACTAGCTCGTGTGATCTTTCTTCTCTTTCCTGGTGCTTCCAATACAAACATACAAAATACATAACATAGATGGCAGAACAGTCTGAGATTTCTCTCATCAGAGGAGCAGACAGCCCTTTGTTGTATTCAACTTTTGCATTAGTGTATACAATTAATCAACAAAAGCTCCTTACACCATTTCATTCACCCACTTGCATCTATCGTATTTATTTACATTTCAGGTGCGTCTTCCTCCCAACACCAGTGATGATGTGGATGAGGATCCAACAGGCAACAAGGCCCTATGGGACAGGGGGCTTCTCAATGGAGCATCACAGAAGGTAAGATATATGACACCCATTATTTATGGGCGGGCACTGCTTTATTCATACTGTACATCAGTCTGACGACGTCATGAAGGAAGGAGACCACCATGTTGTTTCCTTGCAACGGTGACCAGTTGTCAGCAAAATTCATAGGCAGTGCCCTTCTCATGTTCACTTCAACCTGTGAAAATATAAAAGTGATCAGCACAATATTTTGGATTTTCTTGACATTGTATGCAAGATGTCAATGTCATTTATTGGTCTGCGTGCCATTAGTGTACTACGTTGACACCGTATTTAATATCTAAAAATATTTTTATCCAGCTTTGCTTCTGTGGGTAGCTGCTATTATTTTTTTTTCCATCCGATCTTGGCCACATGTACAAAGAAAAACCCTCTAATTGGTTTACAAAGTGAAGAAGCATGATGATGTTTTGGCAGAAATTCATGTTTTCATCAGACAGTGACACATATTTATGTAGTACAATTTTCACCACACTTTTTCAGCCCACCACATTTTTGTTGGCCGGTCACACACAACCGGATGACTGGTTGTCACCGGCACAGAGCTGAGTCAGCATGAACGCTTGTCTGTGTTTTCCAGGCTGATGTGATCGTCAACTACCACGTAGGGGAGACCATCTTGTCCCTGCAGAAAACCACGCTGATCCCAGGCGGGTCAGAGTCGCTGGTCTACACCACCCTGTCTGGAGGCATTGGAATTTTGGTCCCATTTACTTCACACGAGGTAAATCCCTGCCATCTGTCGATCCTTTCATTGGTTTTGGTTGGCCATTCTTAATCATTTAGCACTTCTTTTTGTCCAGGACCATGATTTCTTCCAGCATTTAGAGATGCACATGCGCTCTGAGTTCCCACCTCTGTGCGGACGAGACCATCTCAGCTTTAGGTCCTACTACTTCCCTGTCAAGGTGAGTTCATTATCATCATGATACAGGGTTCGTACGGGTCCTTAAAGTACATAAAAATCAATAAAAAAAGAAGTTGTAAAATTATGTACTTAATTGTTCATAATTTTCAGGGAAATCTTCTAAAATCCATAAAGATCCATAAAAATTAACCTGCGGTGTTCATTTCATTTGTGTATGTCATTTTCCCCACCCTTGCAATTCATAGTTTTGTCGGAACATGCAGGATCTGGGACGCGCTCCGCTTTTTCCGCCGTCTCCGATTATTTCCGACGATGATCACGTGATCACTTCGGGTCATTCCGGGAAACAACAATAGATTGACGCCATCCCGGGGCAGTGAATGGATGGTTTGGTTGCCGGCTCGGCAAACAATTACCGTACTTTCTGGAAAAATCTATTCATCGAATTTATCGATCTCAACAAGTGACAGACAAATATGTAGCGACGCCACTCGAGCGAAGCGCGCCTTAGCAGTCGATAGTCCGCTGCTCTCTGTCGTGTGTGCGTCAGCTAAGCTTAGCTGTTGTTTCGGCTCGGCAAGCGTTTTGTTGTCGTAGATCAAAGTGTATTTGATTTGTGACATCGGTTGCTTCCAAAAGACATGTTCCCGCGGACGCACACACAGCAAAGAGCAGTGGACTTTCGACTGCTGAGGCGTGCTTCGCTCGAGTGGCGTCGCTACAAATATTCCGGGACAATGCTATTTTCAAGTGGCGTGGCTGGAGAAGCCGGAGTTCCGAGTTTGGGTCGGAAAAATTGCTAACGATTATACGTCGGTCTACTGCCGAGTGTGCAAGAAGGGCATCTCCGTGAGAGGTAAAACTTGTCATAGCCTCCTGGTCAAGTCAAATGCATTGAGGCACACAGCAAAACAGAAGAAAATTGATCGCCAAGAACTTGCAAAAGAGATTGAGGAGAAAACTAAGTCACTGTCTGCTATTCCCTAATTGTCATATCAGTTTCATATTTGTCATTCTAAAACATGTCTGATCATTGAAGGTGATATGAGGGAAAATAAAAGGGTTGGACCATTTGGGATTTAGACTTCTGACATGCATTTCAGCTGTTCAAGTATACTGGATACTGCCAAGATGGGCAATCAGTACTACTGTTAGTGAAACCAGATTTTTATAAACCCTGTCCTGGTGACACATATGACCATTAGCTCTGTTCTTTGTGTTGTGTTTATTTGAAAATAAATTGAAGTTTTATATTTTCTCAATTTAAATTTTTCTTTGTGTGTTTTATTTGAGAATTAGGTTTTTTTTTTCATTTTCCTACCTGTAATACAGGTAGGAAAGTGAAAATTTGACATACAGTATGTCAAATAAAGGGCTAAGTGATTGCCCCTAAAAATAAAGATGTGCCCTTCCTTTGGCAGCAATGATTTGAACACCAGCTCAGTGATATGTGGCTTTCTGTTCAGCCCGTGTATTGCTGAGCGGGCATTAAATCCATCGTGAATCCCCCGCTGAATGGAGAAAAAGTCCTTAAAAAATGGCTAAATTGGTCCACAAAAGTCATTAAAAGGCCCATAAATAAAAAGCAAGTGGAAGAGTGGGAACCCTGTGATACCGAAGTTGCAACACAAAAGTTTTAGCTTTTCAGGGTGAACGTGAAATTACACAGCTTTTACAGGTCAAATTTATTTGATATTCTCTATACTCCTAAATGCACAATTGTCCAATGTTTCAATTTGTTTTGCACATGTTGTTGTCCAATAAAGTGCAGATAGGCCAAATTCGCATGTGTTTGATACATTAAATGAACCACGGTCAAATTCAGTTCACAAGATTATAATGCATTTTCAGACTGAAATTTCACATGAGAGCGGAAAATTCTGAACTTTTTTGTGCGTAGCCTAAATCCATCTGATCACCTTGTGTCACCTCATGCCATTGTTCTCGTGTGGCGAAATTGCAGAATGTGATTGACGGAGACCTGTGCGAGCAGTTCAACAGCATGGAGCCACACAAGCAGAAAAGTGTGGCAGAGGAACTCGACAGGACGCCACCCGAGGTCTCCAAGAAACTGGAGGACATCCGCACGCGTTACGCATTCTAACTGCTGAACTCAAGCTTAGTCTTTACACGAATTAAAATTGAAAGTCATGGGGCTCAAACTTAGTAATAGTGCATCATGTATTTCTCACAACATGGTGCTTTACATGAACTGAAGACTCGACGACAACGATCATGAATCATAAAGCCCATCACTCAAAATGGCTAACAGCATTTGACTCTGACAGTTGTTACTTTGTCAGTCGTTCCGTAACATGGCACCAGCAAGTTGGCGAACACAGCATGAAGATTAGTTGCCAGATGTGACTGATTTCCAAATGTCCTGTATTTATTTGGCAATGCTGGATACAGTGCGTTTTTCCCTTACGTCACTGGCACATTCTAAAATAAATCCTACTCGTGAAGAAGTGTTCCAACTCTCACGTAATGTACATATTTTGGTCTTTAAGTTGAGCAAAAAAATCGGAGGGTTTGCAACCAGATGGTATTGGCATTTTATTCTCATGTTTTGGCTTGAGTTTTATCGCGATAGAAACCCAAGAGGAAAATGACATTGTTTGTTCCCCTGTCTGCGGTGGCTGTTTTGCCATCATTGTGGTATTAAATGTCAGAGAAAATAGATGGGCGGATGAGCGCACAAAGTTGAGTGTTGTCTTGGTCAGGACTGTAAATTCCCCCACCTCGACCACAAGCGCTTCCAGCAAGTTCTTGTAGAAGAAATGGCCATGTGTAGGCTATGCAATGGTGGTTTGTAATGTAAATAAAGTTTGGGGTTTTTTTTTCTACTTTGACCAAATGTTGTCTGTGCGCTTTCTTTCCATGTTCAAGCCCGACCAAGGATGTTTACTCAAACTTCTCTTGTCAGACAATCATTAGAGTAGAAATGTCAATGGTGTTACTTGCAGCCATTATGAATAATATAGTCAGTTATTAATACCTAATGATATGATTCAAGAGTGGGTTTTTTTGTGGGGGTGGGGGTAATGATCTGCATGCTCCCCTCTACATTGCTTGACTGCTTGCTGTTTGATCTACATTTTTATCACTAGTCCTGCTTTTCATTTTGTATTTGTCTAATCATTTGTAAATTTATATTCCCATCACACAGAAAGAAATGACCTACTTTATCACAGACAGAATGTAAAACTACCAGGAAATAAAAGTTAATATTTTATAGAAGCACTTTATGCCTGGATCAGTTTTGCACATCTAGAGACTGAATTTTTTTCCCCCATTCTTCCTTGCAAAACTGCCTCAGCTCAGGTAGATTTGATGAAGAGCATTTGAGAGCAGCACTTTTCCGATATTTCCACAGATTCTCAATTACATTTAGGTCTGGACTTTGACTTGGCCCGGATAAGTTTAGTTTTTACCCATTCCATTGTAGATTTTGCTTTATGTTTAGAATCACAGTCTTGTTGGAAGGTAAACGGTCTTGATCGAATGACATTTATCACAAAGGTTAAGGAAACGGTGGTTTGAAGGTTCGGAGATTTAAGAATAAGAAAACCTTTATTTGTCTCACAATGGAGAAATTCCCAATTTACAGCAGCAAAGTTATGAAAGAAAGTAGAAGAACAAAAAGTAGAGGAGCTACAGTAAAGGCCGTGGGAAGAACAGAAAGCAACAATGAACTTCAGAGAAAAATCTGTAACCTACACAGTATGGCAAAAGAATGTACCATAAATATTGAATTGAGAGACTGTTGGATCGTGATGTGAACAGTGGACGACTGAGGAGCGATGATTTACACATGCTTGGAAGCTTTCCCCCGGCCAGCATTGATTTTATCTTTTAATACTGAATCTAAGCGAGGCATCTCCTCCAGAACATGACTGTATTCCCACCGGACTTTTAACTTTCAACATTTTCCTACTGTTGTGCAATCATGAATCATGTGTTGCCCTTCGCACACCGATTTAGATTCATACACTCAACTCAATTGCAAATACCTGAAGTGTTCCAAGAATGAATGAATGATGTTTGTTCTCCTTTTTACGAGTTGTTTCTTGAAAATGCTACACAGGAAAAGTGTTTTGACATCTTACTCTCTTCATAAGAAGCCAGTGTATGATGCTGCCTTAAATCATTTTTTGTTTGACAGAGGCAAATACACACAAAAAACCCCATCGCGCAATTCTTCGAACCAACAAAACACTTTGTAGCCCGTGTAAATCAACAGTTCTATTAAAATCTTGTGGGTTCATTGGGTTTTTACTAATTGTTCCGAGTGCTGGTCCATGAAAGGAATTGTGTCCAACAAATTGGGCAGGCAAAGAGGAACAACAATCAAACAGGATCATCAAAGCGAAGTTAACTGGCCTCGCTTGGCCTTGTCAAATTAAGACCTTCTTGAGCCTCTAATTTCCTAATTTAGTAGAACTCGTTCATGTATTTAACCTGGTGTGCATTAAATTTGATACCCAGTTCTTGCTTTGAAAAATAACTGTACTGTATAATATATATTTTGTATTCATTCTATCCTTAATTATTTTATAGGCCCTTTAACTTCTATTAAAAAAAAGATTTATATGTAATATATTTCATATATAATTTGACAAGAGCAAGACAGGGCCTTGTTCGTAGGACTGTTTTAAACTGAAAACCTCAAACCTTGTATGCATAATAATAATTGCCAATGTTCCGATTTTCTCAAGTAACTCCAATACTTGATGTGTCCAGTTTCTGTTAATGGTTGTTGCTTTGCTGCCACTTCAATACAGCTGCGACACGTGTGTCACGTGATACTGGAAAAGCGCCTCAGTCCATCAGATTTCCATTGGAATCTACTGTTGGAAAAGCAAAGGCCTTGCTCTATTTCTGGGTTTTCCTGTTGAGAATCAAGGCCAAAAAATTGAAAATGAAACTCAGGCGGAGCTACGCGGTGGTGATTGGTAGTCCGTCCATCCCCGCCTCGCGACAGGGAGATACAGTAATTGACAAATGTGCGAGGTGTTGCAGAATATTTGTTCCGCCTCAATAGCCGCGGTTTCCACATGGACCCATTTGACTGATGGCCGAGTACAACTTTCTGGGTGAGGATCCAGGAAGTGCAGCAGAGCAAAGCTTTCTACACTGGTAGCGGCAGTTTGCAATTTTCCATGATTACGTTAACTTGGTTAGTTCCGGTCTTGATTTGTTGTGGCGGCACGGCGGTCGACTGGTTAGCACATCCAGGTGGGAAACGGTCCCACTTTCACTACTTTGCCTGATCACAAGTCGAGTGCACTGCTACACCGTCCATGACCACATGAGCTTATTTTTAAGAGCCTTGGAAATATTTCAGACGAGTAGAAATGCCTTTCATAATAGAAATGTCATTTCAACATCTTGTTACAATTATGATTGGATGGTGAAAATTATAATTTAGATGCTTCCATGTCCAGCGTACCCCTGGAGATAAATGCACCAGACCCACCAAACACAAGTTCAGTCATGTGGTTCTTGTATTTGTATTTTGATGTTCTCTTTGTCATGGGTTCACCCTGGCCACCCCAATAAAACCTTTCTGGCTACATCACTGACGAAACACACATCTCAAATACGACACTGGCATCAAACAGGAAAATTCCCATTCTGAAAATGAACAACGGTGTTTTGGTTTTCTGTGATATGGTCCACAGAAACTAATTAAAAATAAAACAAAACTCCACTCATTTACTTTGCTTCTCAGTGCAGGAGGACATTGTTTTCATAGACACTATGAAGAGTGTCTATGAATACTAAAAAATCATATTTTTTTAAGTCTGCCTGTTGTTAATTGCACACCACAGGAAGAAATTATACAATGGGAGTAGCATGAATCCCTTTCAAGTGGCTTCAACACCACTGGACAAATAGTGGTGTTTGTCTCTGTCACGGAAAAACAAACATTTGGCACTTTATTTTTTTGTTTTTGTTTTTTGTTGTTGCGTCACACATCGACTGGAAGTGCAAATTTTTGCCATGCACCGAACTTAGCCCAGAAGACATCTCCTCTTCATGTTGAGACACATGAAAGAGAGCGGTCAGTAACCGACATGCCGCGAAACAAATTGCAGATCACTGCTTTCTCATGCTGCCTAATCGATTCATTTCAGGCGACTATTTGCGGAGCTATGATTGGCTTTGAGCCACCTGCAGTCTTGTGACAGGATGATGCAACCCGCTGTTTGTTTTATCTGGATTTTTTTTTTTTTAACACAATTTTTCCATCCAACTTGTTGACTGATCTAAGCGAGTTTGATAACTCTTTGTCTGAGGGCACTAAATGAAATGGGTGTCCGGGGATATTCTGAATGGGGACATTATTTGTTGGTAATGTGGTTGACAGTCATGTCTCACCAGGGAGCTAAAAACAAATGTAACACCAGAAGCGAATGGATCATTATTATTTTTGCTAGGAAGTCCGAGGCCCAGCTTGCGATGGCGATCTTAACTTAAATGCAGAACAGTAGTATGTATGCCTCATTTTCAGGTGAAAACAGCCAATCATGCCATAAATAAAATCAGGCCAGACGCACCGGTACCTGTGAACAAATCTTCCTCAATTCGAAATGCAGAAACATTCCATTCTGACATTCAGTTCCATCGTTTTTCACCCAGGAGGTATTGGAAACATCAGACGTTACATATTTGAAAAGACCCTTACACCTTATCTAGATGATGTAGCAGCTCTTTGTTGGCATTATTGCCTTCATTTTGACACTTTAAGGACCCCGACTTCTGCTTTGCTTTGTCGAATTATTGACCTTGCTCGCTGTATTGCTTCAAGTCCTGTTTTTTTTAGACCTCTCGATTTTGTTCACAGTCACTCTTGTTTTCATAGTTCCTTGCTTTCTAAGTATTTTCGTCATGAAGTTATTTTGGTCTTCATTTTGGTATCACGTGTTTGGACTCTTGTCATTTCATTTGTGTATTCACGGTACGCTTTAGTACCTTGCCTTTTGCAAGTGCTTTTTGTTTATGCATTGTTTTGTTCTTGGCACTTTGTGACTAACGATTTCACAGCGATTTAGAATACTGAGATCAAGTCTTTACATGCTACCGGGCGCTTCTCCACATCTCCATCTGGCCCTTTATATCACTCAGTGTCATGTATGTTGAGAATTTGGGGTTTATAGTTCTGTTTTTTTACAAGGCCAAAAGGTTTTACTGGTGGCATTTTGACCCTGGGATGGAATGGGTTAACTTAGATGTGTTGTGTGTTCTCTAGCTGGCAGTTTCACCTGAGAGAGAGAGAGATAGATAGATATATCTATCTATCTATCTATCTATCTATCTATCTATCTATCTATCTATCTATCTATCTATCTATATATATATATATATATATATCAACGGCAAGAATAAGACCAATAAACAGCTATGCCCTGCCAGTGATCAGATA